TTCCTTCCTTCCTTCCTTCCTTCCTTCCTTCCTTCCTTCCTTCCTTCCTTCTTTTTCTTTCTTTTAATTCAAATCAATTCCTTAGCCCAGTTTTGGATTTTTTTTCTTCTTCTTATGGCCCCAGCACATTTGACATTTCAGAAGCTTTGACTGTCTGCATGAGATCTGCAGTTGTTCCATCAACATTCTGATTCGGGAGAGACAGAAGGGGTCACAAGTTGCTGCTTTCTGAGGGTTTATAGGCAGTTAGTGGTTGCTGAGGGTGTGTGTGTAGGAGAGAGAGAGACCGTGGGTAAGTTGTCCATGTCCTTGTAACCCTTCAGTCATGTTTCTGAAAACATCTCTTATGAAACCCATTGGACAGTACACAAAAGAACATGAAAGCAGAAAGGGGATTGGTTGGGAAGAGGAAGGGATCAGCAGAAGTGGGCAGACTGAAGAGGGTGGCAAGTGGTGAATGCGATCAGGTATGTATGCAATGAAATGAAATGTATGAAATAAAAATATGTCACATATGAAAATGCCATCATGAAATCCATTACTCCACATGACTACTGTATCCTAGCCAAAACAAAAAAAAAATTAAAAAAGAGGACTAAAGATAACATTATGTATTTAAGCAGAAAGCAAGACTCAGTTAACTAATATTGCTATTTATATGGAATTTGTAAATCATATATTACATGTTATTAAGTACATATGAATTTAAGTGAGTTGTTTGATCCAGTACAGAAAAGCATTTTAATTTTTCGCTCACAGTAGAAGTCTCTTTTATTTTAAGTACGTGTTCATACTGAATACCCAAAGCTTGGAACGGAGTCTTCTGGAAGACTGCATGAGGCTCTGTACTAACTAGGAAGCAGGAGCCGTCTCCCTTTACTGGATACTCTCTTCTGTGCTCCTCTTGGATTCCTCCACCCCTGACCATGGAGAGGATACAGCAGAGTTAGTTTAGAGAAAGGAAGGCACAGACAGTATGCTAACATGCTACAAAGCAGTCTTCCCAATTGAAGACGCTCTCTGCGGCATCACAGGCCTAACTTGCTGCATCTACCCTTTCAGCTAACACCTCTCAGGCACATGATCCTCTCCTGTGACGTCATCACCGACCTTTGATGGAGAAATGCCCTTATTTTGCATAAAGCTGTTTATAAGAAAATATGTTCAGATATTTTTATGAAATGCGAGGTATGGGCATTTTTTCCAGGTAAATTGTGTAAACTTTTGGTTTGCGCCTGGTACCCACAGAGGCCGGGAGAGTTGGGTGGACGCTCTGGAACTGGAGTTACAGGTGATTGTGAGCCATCATGTAGATTTTGGTACTTAACGCCCAGGTCTTCCAGAAGAGCAGCCAGTGCTCTAAACCACTGAGCCACCTCTGCAGCGACTTCAGTTTGCTTTTAGAAATCTAAAGAGAAGACACTTGAACAGAACATGTGTGTACTTGAGTGTCAGGATACTAAGTATTGACATTTGCAGTGAGAGACCAGAGCAGGCCAAGAAATGACTACATACTCTTCATTACACAAAGTCAAAGTGCATGCAAGGAGCACGCGTGTGTCCACGATGCCGCTAGTGATGTGTGGCTACTAGCTTAAAGTATGTGTCTCGGTTTCTCAGGAGCTCTTGATGCGTTCCCTGCTCCTTGATTTTTCCATTCTGCAGAACTACGATCACATCCGCATTCTGTACTGTGGAGAGTCTGTGAGCCACCACTAGGCAGGTCCTTCCTCTCCGGGCTTTATCGAGGGCCTGCTGAACCACCTGGAAAAGAAAAGGACCAAGTGACTTCCATTTGGGGTAGATCTTTATAAGCATGCCTAAGCTCAGTCGTTAAGGTAACCTAATGATGTCCTTTGCTGTACTTGCTTATCCCCAGAGGAACTGCATGACTTTGGGAAATATTCACCCTGCTCAGTAGAAATGAAAAAAGTAGTGGAATAGAACTGGCTTGCAAGAACATTTATGACGAGTGTAAACGGAATGGTTATACAAGTAAGGAGACGGTCCAGGCGCCAAGCCAAGAGGCTGCATTTCTCTACCACACCCCTCACCACCCCATTTTGCTCTAAGCACAGGACGAGTCTGGGAAGGTGGAATAACGGGAACACCCTCCCTGTGGCGGCTTCTCTATTCACGCATAGACCCCACTGCTAGTTGGTTTAGCATCAGTGGAATAGAACAAACTAGAAAAGAACATTTCCCTGAGCTTTTATTGACTGGACAGACACTTTCAGATCTGGACCCATTTTGCTATAAGATGAATTCAGAAGCTGGTTGCCTGGCTTCACCTCTCTGCTTGCCTTCCATTCTCCAGTGTGACTGTGGTCGTCATGACAAGAAAGAAGTGTCTAACCTTCTCACTCTCATTGTCAAGGGCTGAAGTAGCCTCATCCAGCAGTAAAATTTTTGGCTTGCGGAGAAGAGCCCTTGCAATAGCCAGTCTTTGTTTCTGGCCTCCAGAAAGCTGCACTCCCCTCAGTCCAACTTGAGTGTTGTACTTCTGTTTCAGAAACGTGCCGTTAGCAAAGCACGTTAGTCACCGTGGAGACAGACGCCTAAGCAGTTCACATTTCTAGACTCTTGGAAAGGTGTGTCCCAACACACCTGAAATCTACTCTTGGTCCTCTGCAGACCATTACCATTATGCTTCTATGAAGGAATTTTGTTCCAGCTTCCTGTCTATTATCTCCCTCCCACCCTTTTTCCTTTTCTTTATTGAAATAGACTCTCCCATTGCCCAGGCTGGCCTTGAACTTCCTGCATAGCCAACAATGATTTTGAACTTGTGATCCTCTTCTCTCACCTCTTGATACTGGGATGGTAAGCATGTGCCAGCAATGCCCTGTTTATGTGATGCTAGAAACAAACCAGGACATTGTGCGAATTAGGAAAGTACTTACCAGCTGGGCTATAGCCTCAGTTCCCACAGAGGAAGCCTCACAATCATAGCACAAGGGGAAAATAATGAAGAAAAGTTCTGAGTAAACCAGATGAGTATATAGTCCCTGCCCTTTTTGGTTCAAAACAATTCAAAATATTTGAAACCACCAGGCAAAGAATGAGGTTTTCTTCTTTATGCTAACCCCCAGATGCCAGGGTGCAGCCTTCACAAGAGGCTGGCATTTCTGCCCTACCCATACCATACCCAAATGCTCGTGCTCACACTCTGCTCTTCTCAGTGTCTCCATGGTGTCCCTACCCCTGCTATCACTCAGCTTCTGCCCTCACCAGGAGCCTGTCAGGATGTTCTGTTTGTCTCTTTTTGACCTAGAGCCTCAAGGAAGTCAGCCTTGAATTTGCTGTGTAGTTGAGGCTGCTCCTGACCCCCCAGTCTCCCTCCCTCTACCTTCCATGTGAATTATCTCGCACATGGGATTCCATGGGTATGTGACCATACCCATAATGCTCCCTGAATTCCTGAAGAGCAAACAAAAGCCTAGTTTTCTCCCTGCTCTCCACCCCTCTCCACTTTATTTTCTTTTAAATTCATTAATTATATGTGTATGGGTGCTATGCCTCCATGTCTGTCTGTGAACCGTATGCATGCAGTGCTCTTGAAGCTCAGAAGAGTTTGTCAGATTCCCTGGAACTGGAGTTACAGACTTGTAGGTTTTAGGAATTGAACCTACACCCTCTGGAAGAACAGTTCTGCTCTGAACTGCTGAGCCATTTTTCTAGCCATCTCTATCATTTTTAAATATAGAGTGACTTCTTAAATATATGATTCTTACTCATTCCCTAACTCTCCTAATGGATCTGCTAACTCCCTGTCTCTTTGTCACTCCATGTCACCACTTACTTTGCCAATTCTAAACATTCCTAGTCCCCAGCCTTGAGTAAGGTTTTAGAAACTATTAAGGTTAAATTCTTTGCTGCTGCGATGGATGTTAGTCTTAACCACTCACTTGATACAATCTTGAATCAATCACCTGGGAAAATAGTCCCATCAAGGGATTGTTTAGATTAGGGTGACTTGTGGGCATGTCTGTGGGGGGACTGTCTTCGCTAGTTTAGTTGAGGTGGGAAGACGAGCCCAAGATGGGTGGCAGCCTTCCCTAGGAAGGGGACCCTGGATGGTCTGAGTAGAGAAAGGCAGCTGAGCACAGACGTGCATGCATTAATTCTTTGTTCTCCGCTCTTGACTAGATATAAAGTGACAGCTGCTTCAGAGTTCTCCTGCCTTGACTTCCCCAAAGTGAAGGACCTGGAATTGAGAGCCAAATAAATCCTTTCTCTATTACATTGGTCTTTAAGTGCTTAGACCGTCTCAGGCTCATGAAATACTACATTTCTGTATCTTCTCCCTAGTTCAATCACTTGTCGCTCTGTATCTATTCTTATTTCAGGCAGTTTTTGTCTTTGTTTTTGAGACATTGTCTTGCTAAGTGGCCCAGGTGGCTTCAAACAGGCAGTCCTTGTGCCTCACTGCTCTGAGTCCTGGGATTACAGGCGGAGTTGCCGCACTGGGCACCATTTATTGTTATTCTATGGTGTCTGTTATCATGTCTTTGCTCAGACCTCATCCGTGGGCTCAGAACAAAGAATGTTATTTGTGTTTTACAATGACGTCTGTACCCATGAGATTACATTTGGTTTGTCTGGGTTATTTTTCATAAGTAATAGCTCAGTAGTTTACAAAGCAAGGCTGAGTAGCTGTGTGTTGAGTAAATGAAACAAATCTATAACTGTTTGGATGGGAATGAGGATAGGAAGGGCAGATTTTAAGCCATCGGGACATGGCAGATGTGTGAATAAATAAAGTATGAAATAAAGGTAAAATAAATCCTTAGAAACTGGCAGGGCGATGACCTTCAACCTGCTAAACAATTCCTGGAGAAACTGAGATTGATAATATCTAGATGTTTGGGAAGACTGCTGTTTCTGTTTTACGTGGAGCCCTATGTTTGCCATATTGAGCACCACGGGAGAAGCTGACCTTGTCTTGCAGGTTTTACATTGATTCTGTGATCTTATATTGGGATAGATGTTAAGATCAGTTTGTTTGCTTAAGAAAATATATTCTTGTTGGGTGGTGGTGGTGAACACCTTTAATATGAGCACATGGGAGACAGAGGCAGGCAGATCTCCAAGTTTGAGGCTAGGCTGGTTTACAGAGTGAGTTCTAGGACAGCCAGGGCTACACAGAGAAACCCTGTCATGACCCCCTTCCTCCTAAAAAAAAAGAACAAGAAAAAAAATCTATTCTTGGACAGGTGCGGTGGCACACACCTCTAACCCCAGCACTTTGGAAGCAGAGAAGGTGGATCTATATGAACTAGAGGCCAGTCTGCTCTATATGTTCTTTCCAGATCAGCTAGAACCACACAGGGAGACCCTGTCTTAAAAAATCTATCCAAAGAAAATGCAGTAAATCACAAGGTTCACCTTTATTTCTTCCCCAAATACTTACTTCAAAGTGACACCATGTCTTTTAAGTTCATGCTCTCACCCAAGGCAGAGTGAAAGCTCAAAATAGCATGGCATGTGAATGCTAACCCTGCGCATTACATATGAAAGCCTATCAGGCTGGAAAGATTAGTGAAAACATCAGGGTTGCTTTTTACGTCCACCTTTATGTGAGACTGCATCAAAAGCAGCACTCTGCAGCTTCGTAGCTCAATATTTCAGCGGTTTTCTTACCCTGGGGAGCCCTTCAATGAAAGAATGGATGTTGGCTGCATCTGCAGCTTCTTTGATCTCCTCCAAGGACACCACGCGGCTGTTCTCACCATAGGCAATGTTCTCGGCGATGCTACAGTTGAAGAGCACAGGCTCTTGGGAGACGATAGCTGTCTGGGAACGCAGCCACTGCACGTTCAGTTCTTTTACATCAACACCATCAAGCAGCTGCCAGAGCAGAGCGGAGACTAGTTTGTTAACAACCGTGTCGTGTTACACTTCACGCTATTCACACATATACAAATCATAACAAGAAGCCTAGGAATTCAAGCTATTTTTTTAAAGTATATGTTGCCAGAGGAAGGTTCATAAATCAACTGTTGGATCGGAGCTCCGAGGTTACACCTTACTGACACGCCATTCCAAACACGTCCTTTTAGAAATGACCACAGCTCCCAGGGGTGTGCTGAGAGACTAGAGTACACCTAGAACTCCATCTTAGAGTTGCATAGAAAATGATCACCCTCCCTGTCCAGCACAGCTACACTCCACTACTGATATCTAACAGGAGAGCTGGCACAGACTGATGCTGAAGGCTACCTATGGAGACATGCTCCGAGCCATGTTTTCAATCACACACATACATGAAATTCATCTGCTGTTTGAGGAGCATGCCTGCTGAGTGCCTGGGACCCCAGGTCCTCGGGAAATAAGACAATGCACAACTCATTCTCACCCTGACAGTTTATGTTGTAGCTGACAGATGCAGGTATGATGTGAAGACAGGGTGACAGACACAGGGACTGAGCAGCGGATGTCGAGGGTGGCTGTGGGAAGGGACATTGGGACTAAACCATAAATGATAAGGCACAGGCAGCACTTGTGTGGATGTGCTGTGAGTACATCTGCACAAGAGTAGATGGGGGACAGAAAAAAAGTCCCACAGAAGCTGTGGGGATGATGTTCCACAAGAGAAGGGTAAGGGGGAGACCTTTGGAGAGGGAGGCAGGAGCCAGGTCACAGAGGGCTTGGGAGATATTAAACCTTGATTTTGTTTGGTGGTTTCCAGGAGGGAGTGACTATGCTGCCTGAAAATAGCTAGATGCTGCCCAGTTCAAAAGAGCTTTCTGAGCAGCTCTGCTTTCTCAGCGCTTGTTGAGACTATAATGGAGAAAGACTGGAAATTACAAGAGAATGGGATTAACATTGACATTTTAACTTTCAGGGAGGGAGGGGACAAGATGCAAGCTTAGTGTGTATAGGAAGGAGAGGAAGAGAGGGAGCTGCCGTGGTGGGGAAGGATAATAGGAATACAGGAGATATATAAGCTATTAGTACATGAAAGCAAGGTAAAGATTGTCATCCTTGGTTCAAAGGAGGAAGAGATCGATTGTTGCTTTTTGTGATCAGGACGCTCTGCTTAATGGAGGTTGATTTGGAGTAAGCCTTAGCCTTGAAAAAAAAGGTCTTGATAGCTGAGGGTGTGGAAGGCTGAGAACAGCCAAGGGATAGGAGACCACTAAGGGTCTTACGCCAGAAGGGGTAGGAAGTAGTGATACTGTGTGAGGGAAAGCCGCTTGCCCCCACGCCCATATTCCAAAAGAATTCCACAACTTCTAAGATAAAAACTGAGGCTGTCAGGACAGCTCAAGATTCTGGTTCATTGTACTCAGTGTCAAAGTCCTGCCCACCAGTTTTGTTGTCAGACCTTTGGTTTCTTTTTGCTGCTGCTGCTGTTTGCTTGGCCTTGTGTTTGCTCTACTAGGCTTACCTGCACCTTTAAGGGCTTGCCACTAACCCCCAGCTCGGCTGTTTTAAGTCCATCTCACCACTTGTCCGTTCACGGGGTCATAAAATCTTTGTAGCAGTTGGACACAGGTGCTTTTCCCACAGCCACTGCTCCCAACAAAAGCTACGGTCTTCCCCTTCTCAATGCAGAGGGACACGTCATGAAGGACAGGGACTTCCGGACGACAGGGATAGAAGAAAGAAACTTCTCGAAATTCTAAGTTTCCTTCACAGGCGTCCTGTGAAAGGAGGAGGGCACTGCTCTCAGTGGACGTAGGAAGGTGGCCCCCCGGCCGTGCCCTGCGTAAGCACTGTCTGTACATTGTTCATGTCCCCAGAACAGCCCAGTCTCAAGCACATTCCTCTCCACAGGGTGCTGACTCAAGGCTGGACCTTGTCAGTGTCGGTGGTTGTGTGTATTTCCTGCCGCCTCACTGATGGGCTGTGTTTCCATAGAGCACTACAGTCTTTCAGTTTGGGATCACAGCCTGTTCTGCTGACTAGCTGACCAGCTTCTCTAAATAAATGTTGTTTTTTAAAATTTAGGTTGAGCTTTAAAAACCCTTTACTGCTTAACTCAGAAATGCCTTATAGTATCTGTGAAATAACTGTAAAATTTCTCTATACTTACTTTTATTTTGAAAACTGGACTATGTTTTACAGTTAATATATACTACTGTGAACTCTGATCTATCTTCATTTTCAGTTAATCATTATTTGGCTGTAATACTTAGCTAAAAGTTTACTTTTCTCTGTTTTTCAATCCCTTTAGTCATTGGTGATTTTTTTAATGTAAGCTAATACTTTTCTATAACGATATTCTTTTAAAAGTTTTTTTATACTTTATTTATTTTTAATCTTATGTGCTTTGGTGTGAGGGTATCAGAGCCCCTGGAACTAGAGTTGCAGACATAGAGCCGCCATGTGGGTGCTGGGAATTGAACCCAGGTCCTCTGGAAGAACAGCCAGTGCTCTTAACTGCTGAGCTGTTTTTGCAGGCCCCGCATAATGATATTCTTAAAAGCTTTCCAGCACCATAACTAAGTGTTGATTATTTATTTTTGGCTCAAAGTTTTGGGGTTCTTTTAAAATTCACATTTGGCCTTTCTTTCTCCTTCCCTCCCTCTCTTTTTCTCTCTCAGTATCTCTCCTCAAGTGTGTATGTGTGAATGTGTGTGTGTGTGTTTCTGGTGGTCAAAGCCAGAGCTTCATGCATCCTACGCATATCCTCGAGCACTGAATAACACCCCCAATTACATTACAGTATTTTTGGGTTTTGTAATCAGGTAGATGCAGACTAAGGTTATACTTTTAAGATTATACTTATAGTTGGGTTTAACCGTCATGTGCAGTACTCTGAATCTAGGAGGAAAGGTGTAAAGCATGCTAGAGGTGGGGTAGGTGTGACACTCGGTGGAGGAGCCCTTGCTGTGTGAGAAGCCCTGGGTGCATGCCGGGTGTGGTGGCACATATCTGCGGCTCCAGCGTTTGGGAGGCGGGACTGGGAAGATGGGAAGCCTAAAGATGGCTTTCGGCTGCACAGTGAGTTTGAGGCCAGCCTGCACAGCAGATATGAGATCTTGTCTCAAACACAAGCATACATACACACAAAACATGTTTGATAATATTGTTCTGTGTGGAAGGCGTGAAACAGGAAGACGTGGCTAAAGGCTCTAGCAGCAGAATAAAATATCCACCATGATATACACCAGATCTAAGCAGGAAGTAAAAGTCATTTATTTTTGGTTTGTTCATTTTTTATTTTGTCCCATTATTTCTCCATATATTGTGGTGTCTTTGGGAAGTCACAGATGTTCTAGAAAGTCCCTAGATCTTAACACATTTTAAAGTTTATTCTTATTATTTTTAATTTCAATATGGAAAATTTCAATCTTATATAAAAGGTGAGAGAAATATAATAGGCTGCTATGTATCTGTCAGCTACCTTTACTCTATATCAGTTTATGGGATTTATTTACCCAGATTTCAATTTTTAAAAGCAGAAGTAATAATCTGAAATATTTTATATTAGATAAAATATGGAATAATTTTGTAGTCTTTATAGGAAATATGTGTGTTATGTGCCATGTATATAGTTTATCTATCCCTTCTTTCCTTCCCTTCCCTCCTCCTCAGCCTTTATATGCATACAGTTCAATATTCAGATAGCTGTGAGATACTCAATTTCTCTTTGAACTTATAGAAACAAATAAAAGCAGCATTACACACTTAAAAATCTCAAGATTTTAAATTTTCTCATGTTCTTTACTTTCCTATATACTTGATTTTTCTGTGATGTATCTTTGAGCATCACATTTTGAGAATTTTAAGGTATTTTTATTTTTGTTACCAGCCACGTGTACAAGCCTCTTATTAATTATATGCCGCCACTGATAATGCTACCTGAAACTGTCACATAAGTAAATCTACTCTTAAAGTTATAGAGAGAAATGATATAGTTTTAAATGAAAACATTAAGTATGTATGAAATAATGATTCTAATTTTTAAATATATAAATTTTAGAAAGGTTTTGACCCTGCACATGTACTTAATGTACAGTGCTGTTATTAAGAAACGTCTCCACATGATTTAGCTCTCTGTTGTTTCTTTTTCAATACTCACGGTCTCTTAAAGCTTGCAGTTTAACTTGTGTGTACAATTTAATAAGGTATTCAGTTCCCCTTTTTCCTCTTACGCAGTTTTTCCCCATGAAAAACTGTGTTTGAAACAAAAGGCATTATTTACCTTGTAGATGTGATTAGAGAAAAATGAATGAAATCTAGCCAACAGTCATGCAAGGCTAAAACATTTGCTGTTCAAATACATTTGACTTAGTAATCAATGTTTCATTGGACATTCTTATGGCATTCAGCATATAAACTGAGGTGAGAATCTGAGTAGAATGAGACACTCTTCCTCCTTGTAGTACTAAAATTCTGGTACCTGATTTTAGGAGAATATTCTGTATTAGCAGTACTTGTACTGAGGCAGTGGATACTTAAAATTCTAGTTGTGCTTACTGGTTTTTTCCCACTTTGACTGCAGCTGTCTATAGTTGGTTTCATTTTCAGCAAAGCAAACAGATGTGCAGCTCCAACTTTGGCTTTGGAATATTCAGGAGCCCAAACAAGCGTTTCTCCAATGGCCATAGCCCCATATGCAATGGCGGTAAAAACTCTGTTGAAAGATCAGATAACTGTCTCAGGTCTATTGTAAGAGCAGAACTTGAGGAGTCAAGGGAGCATGAACAGAAGTAAGACAGCACCACTGTCACCAAAGGGCTTCTCTTTCTAGCTTTCTGCAAAATGCAAAACAACCTTTGCATTTGAGATGTCAACAATTCCTCTTTTGATTGGTGACTAGAGATTCCAGCCAGGGAGCAAGAAACCCTTTAGCCACTCTGATACAGGCATGTTTGTTGGAGATTTGGGGGAGAATGCACTGACAATAGGAAGAATAGGTCTGATGCAGGCCCCCTCTGTTTTCAGGCAATGTAGTTACAGCAGGTGGCAGAGGCTGGGTCAGATTAACCTCTGCTTTAGGTGATGCTCTGTTTAGAGAGCTAAGCTTGAACTTGCACTTCCTTCGTCTTCTTGTCCTGACTAAAGGGCACTTCCCCCAGGCCTAGAGGAGCTGTGGTCTTGTAGTTTGCTATAGACTCTGATCTCAGTTTCGACACATTCGGGCCATCAGGCTGGTGGCGTTTGAGAGCACACAGGGCATTCACAGAGTTGCCACCTAACATGTGGCTACATATTTTCTTCCTATTTTTCCTCTTTCATTTTTGATGCAAAGAACAGTTCAACCAGAGCTGGACACACTTCACCGCCTGCAGTCCTGGACTCCGCCTGCTTCTTTGTTTTGACCCATCACAAACACGTCTGGAGGTCTGGCAGGGTAGTGCAGTACTTTAATCCCTGCCGTCAGGAGGGAGGCAGGCAGGTCTTTGTGAGTTCTAGGCCAGCATGGCCTAGGCTTACATAGCAAGCTCTTGGCTAACCATGATTATTGAGAGATATTGTCTCAAAAACCAAGCCAAACCAAAACCCAGTTTTGTCTGGATTCCTCATGAATTTCATCCTTTCCCACCCTGTGACCTCGCAAAGGATGGGGGCTGTGGTCTCTTCAGTGACCTTGACCTTAGACCACAAGTCCTGCTGGTTTTACGAGTTTAAAAACCACCAGTTTATAGGTTATTTGTTGCTAAAACTACTGTTGTCAGTAGTTCCGTGATACTGATACATTTTTACTACTCTTTCAAGAAATTGTTTAATGGCTCAAAATGTCTTTCAGAAACTAGATATAAAGCTATAACATGCTAGGCCACATGCGAAAAGCGCTTGTTTGTTGTTCTTTGATACAATGTCTCCCTACGCCACTCAGGCTATTCTTGAAATTACTATACAGGCCAGGCTAGTCTTGAGCTCTGCATCCTCTTGCCTCAGTCTCCTGAAAACATGTGTCTGTGCCCAGCTGTGTTTGTTTTAAATGCAGGGGAAAGTCAAGCTGGATAAAGCTGAAGTCTTAGTCTGACCCAAGATCAGGATTCAGCAGGTGAGCTGGGAGGACAGCTGTTCTGGGAGTGTAGAGACCTGGGTCATGAAGTACAGGGTGGAGCTTCTCAGCTTTTCAGAAGTCAGCAACTGAGAAAGCCTCGGGCGTGTCTCAGCCACCGCTGTGTTTCTGTGAAGAGACACCATACCCATGACAGCTCTTATGAAAGAAAGCACTTGATGGGGGCCTGCTTACAGTGCCAGAGGCTTAGCTCATCGCTATGGAGGTGGAGAGCATGGTGGCACATTGCAGACATGATGCTGGAGAGGCGGCTGAGAGCTCTACCACTCACCCACAGGCCTGGCGTGGGCATCTGACCCATCAAAGCCCTCCACTGGTGGCACACTTCCTCCACAAGGCCACACCTCCTTATCCTCCCAAAGCTTTCAGAAGGTTCCACTCCCTGGTCACCAAACATTTAAATATATGAGCCTAATGGGCAATTCTCGTTAAAACCACTTCGATGTGGTTTAATATATGCCCCGATATTAATCCATCCTAAAATTTCCACTCTTAGAGTAGCTTTATGCATTAGGTGTAGAGATCTTGAGCTTCGTGCCCTTGCTAGTCCCCTCTTTAAAATGGACGTCTTGCTCAGAAGGGCTTTCCTTGAAGCCTGTTCCTGTAGGAGAGCATTGACAGGAAGAATGGAGTGTCTAGAGGGAGGGAGCTCCAGCACAGGGCCTTGCCTTCATTGTATGGGGAACTGATGCCCTCAGCATTACAGGGCTGTGCCTAGTGGAGAGTTTGGGTTCCGTGGTGATGGGCTACCTAGGGCCGAGGTAGGGACATTGATCTTAACTTACCCCATTTGGGTTCAGTGTAAAGTTAGGCCAATGCCCACATACCTAGGAACCTGGTTTGTTGTCTCATCTGCCTGGTTTATCAGTGAGATAAACCACAAGTCTTTACAACTCAGCAGGCATTCCATGTACAGCTACCAGGCCTGAGCTCCATAGCACAGTCAAAGCAGATCCTTCAAATCCTGCTCAAACTCCTGGGGCATCCCGATGGAGGATCTACCCAGAGAAACCCACTGTCAACCTCCATACCAAGCTGGGTTTGGGGTGTCTCACCCAGGGGTGAGCCATGAAAGCAGTCAGATATACTAACAGATATTTGCAGTTACTAAAGTACATTCATTACATTAAACAGGAAACATACCACAGGTCCTAAGAGATTTTCCCACTGAACTAACTTGACACACAAATATGTAAAGCAGGAACTACATAAGGGAAAAATGTTTCACTGTATGTATCCCAGGCTGGATTTGAACTGAATTCTTGTGTAGCTCATGGTGCTCCCCTCCCAGCTGACTTTCTCTTTTAAAATTATTTTTGGCACATAAAGTAGGGGGATTCACCGTGCATTTTCATAACTCTGTGTCTGTAGCTTTCATATGCTGTGTTGTCCTTGGGAGAAATCTTAGTGCAGTATATGACACTGAATCCATCATGGAACCCTTCCTGTTGGCCGGGCTGGGGAGGAAGGGAAAGCAGGGAGCTGGGAGCACCCTGGCACTCCAACTTCCTGTTGGCCGGGCTGGGGAAGAAGGGAAAGCAGGGAGCAGGAGCACCCTGGCACTCCAAGGGGTTATCCTCCTGCATCTTACTTGTGTGGGTTATGTAACGTGAACAGCCACCATCTCACTACACTGGTCTTCCTGAGAACACCTGAACGCAGCAAATACCAACACCTATTATAACTGTTAACAGAATTTAAATTTTTCTTTGAATAGAAACAACCCCCTAAAACACAGACACGAGTGATTCCAGTTTTAACACAGCTGATCCCAAAAGGGGTAATCAGCATATTCACCAATCATCGTGCCTCCCCTGAGCCCTGCTCCGGTTTTGAGACCTTGAGTGATTGAACTGTTCTGGGAGGAAATTTAGTGTTCCTTGAGCAGGGTTCCCAGGATCATTTGATTTCTTTTTGAGTATGACTCCTAATTATAAACAAACACTAACTATAAACAGGAGCTAGGAACGGCTACAGGTTACATGGCGGTTCTGAGAATTCAATGCATAAGTGATGGAGGGCACCTGGAACATAAAAAGCATCAACAAATGAATTTGTGTATTGTTCCTTTCATTGAATGAGGAGTTCCTGGGACACTTTGTTGGAAGATGAGCTTTCATGCTTGTAGAAATACAGTACACAGTAAGTCTCATCATCGTAATCAAATACCCTAGTGTAAGGTCCTCTTTGGGAGGAAAGGGGAGCAGCTGTCAGACTGGAAGCACTCACTCAGGGAACTGGCTCATGCTCTTTCCCTGCTCATCCGGATGCCAGCCAGAGGCCCTGCCCTCCCGCTCCACATCTTTTTCATGATGGATGGAGGAATACCATGACACACTGAGGTTTACTAGGTGCTCCAGAGCTGGTGACTGTTTTCAAACACACGATATAATCTGACCACCTAGGAGATAATTAGGCCAGGAACTTCCCAGTTCACAAATTAGGAAACTCCAGCTTGTGAAAATTACACAGTTGGCCCAGGATCACACAGACTGCAATGTGGGCAGGCCTCCTGCTGACTGTTTCCTTCACACGCTGCGCGTTCTGGGGGTAAGCATGGAGTCTGCCCTCGTGCCATGTTTCCTTAGCCCCTGTCCCTCTCCTGGGATCTGCACTGACCTCAGGTATCTGTTCTGCTTTGACCTCTCCATGTAGATCTTTGTTAATCTAGCTGGCCTATGCGCCCTCCTCCAGATGACCCCTGGGGAAGAGGCAGCAGGAGGGGACAGTTGTCATACAGGACCCAAGCTAACTAAAGTGACTGACTCAGTTACAGAGATCCATTCTAAGCAAAGATAGTAATGAAGGCCTAATGAGCTCCTTTCTAGCCCTTGCTGTTTCAAAGTATCTGTTTGCTATTAGTATTCATTGAAAATGAAGCTATGTTGCTATTCTGATAGCTACAATTTAATACTAAAAGTTCAGGGTAGCTTTATGTTGAGAACTCTACTGATATTTTGAAGAACAGGGAACACACAGGTGGTGAGTGCCTACCTTAGCAAGTTTCCAAGCCTTTCTTATGACTGCAGTGCAGTGTGCATGTTTCTTTTTTTTTTTTTGCCTGATGTAGTGCTTAGCTTTGTCTATGTGTACCACAAAGACAGAGGTGACACAGTCAGAGGAAAGCCTGAAGCTGTCAAGGTGGAAGGTCCAAAAGCCTATGCTGCTCACCAAGAGTTTCTGGTTTACATTGTGAAAAGCACAGCAGCTAGGACCTTGCCTCGTGGTGCCTGTACCACACCTTTCAGTTTTTGCTTTTGGATAGAGTCTTGTTATGTGGTCCATGCTGGGCTAGAACTCACTATGTACTTAGGTTGGCCTCCAGCTTGCAATCTTCCTATTTTGGCCTCCCAAACGCTAGGATTATAGATTTTTTATATGATACCTACTCTATTAATGCAGAATGAGACAGGGAAACTAAATTTATTTTGTATTCCTAAAATACTGTATATTTGTAGTGCAGTAATCACCTGAGCATTGCCAAGCTAACTTTGAGGGGCTGTTTTACTACCTCTCTGAATGTGAGGGCCAACACAGGTTTCTTGCAGTGCCTGATCCATGGCCCAAAGTCAACAGAATAAAAACAGTATTATCCCATTTAAATGTGTGCTTCAGGAAGGTTCTACAACTGAGCAGATGACTCTAGTAAGCTCTTGCCACAGCCACGCATGCTCACCGTCTAAAGAGGCTTTTCCCCTCCACGCAGCGTGTGAGGAGACTTTGTGGGAGCATTCTCTGCACACACCCCTTCTCAGCACAGCATCCCTCCTGAAGAGACAGCTAACCCACACCTATAGTGGTAAGCCTTGAAAGTACACTCATTTTATTGGGCAAAAGTATGTTATCATTTCACTTATTGTGATCGTGTGTGATAAGGTATGATATGTGCTTCGATGGAGGGGGTGTGTGTCTCCACACGGGTGTGGAGATCCAGCAAACCCTGCAGCACCCTCAGGTCATCTGGCTAGATCAGCAAGTTTCTGTACTTGCTGCGCCACGTTACCCTCTCGCATCATTATTTTAACAGTAAGCTAAAATATGAGTTCCCAATTTTTCCATACTTCTAGAGAAGTTTCTGGTAGTAGACCAAGTAAATGAATAAGAAATTTATTCTGGTATGAAGAGCGGAGAGCTGAGTAAAATATAGTTCTGGCGTTCATGTTTCTTTAAAGTGCGTGACCCTGGGCCTTGTAATAATCCAGCATGTTTAATTAAGGTCCATATTTCTGGCCCCATATCAGATCTGTAAATCAGACTGTAGGGTGAGCTCTAAGCACCACCTTTTAAAGCCAGCTCTGAGACTGCCACCTAAGAGACCAACAAAAGAGGATTAGCTTAAACTCAGGGGAGGACTCTAGAAGTGGAGATTTCCTTTTTGAACCTTTTCCATCCTGTTGGGTGATTAGAAAGTCCTCTGTCGCTCTAAACAGTGGAAGGCACAGTCTCCTAGGCTAGGTGTCCATGGGGACACTTGAGATACACAGGGTAATAGAGGGTGCACTGGCCTCTGCAAAAATTACATAGCTTTAATTAAGATAGTCCTCACTGCCTCACTTCGTCTCAGCCGGCAGGTCTATACCATGTGTGACACTACTCTGCCCTCTGCCTGTGGCTAGACAACTGTTTCTTCCTGACCCTGGGAAATACCATCATGATACAATTCAGAATTGTGTGTGTGTGTGTGTGTGTGTGTGTGTGTGTGTGTGTGTGTGTGT